TTCTTCCAAAGCAGAGCATTCACGGAACATCTATGTGTTATCCTCTCATGTTTCCTCTGATAAAAAGATTCTGCAACAAGCAATTGGACAAATGTGCAAATATATTTTTCTATGTTATGGGCCAATTTGGTGATAATGTTTTATAGAAGACACAATTAAGTGATTTTCTTAAAGTAAAGAACTTAGCCTAATAATACAAAGAAATCTAAGTCAATTTAATCCATTTAAATAGATCAAGTAAAAGAGTAAAACATCGACTTCATAGTAAAAGAAAAAACAAATCAACAAACAAAAACACATTTTTAAAGTTATCGGTAATTGATAACATTGACTCTAATGTTACCTCTCAAAACTTATTAACCATTAAGATAGATGGTGAGTATTTTATTAAATTTAACCAACTTTTTACAAGTAGGATACAGATGCTTATTTTTTAGTACTATTTGAAAATTCACTTTAATTGGTGAAATGATATTTTTTTTCTCCGTCTTGATTATTTAATCATCCCTCATCTATATGCTATGTATCCATCAATGATGGATCTAGGATTTGAATGTGGAACCTAGAAAATATTAACTAAAATTTTGCCCTATAATATTTCAATGATTGCCTTTAGAAGACACCTTAATGCCCAATATTTTTAAACAGATTAAATAGTATTTGACTGAGGAATAAACAAAGATACTTCTACTTCTTAGAGTTTAAGAATATTAAAATAAAAAACAGATTCCTGTTTTAATCCATTTAATTTTTATAAGACAAAAAGGGATGTTAAGTACCCCGAAACAATTATTTAAATTTAAATCACAAATTTTCAGACTGTCTGAAGATGATAACCAATATATTTTTAGAATTACAAATCCTCTTTAGTTGCTAGAGTATAAACCTAGTGAACTACATTTCAATAAGAACATAGGGGAACAGTGCTGATAAATAAATTGAAACAACTATATAACATTTTGTTTTTAGTTTTACACATTTCATTTTCAGTTAATGAAATTCTTTCTTATTTACTTCTTTTATTATTGTCTTGTGTATGAAAATTATCCAAATGAGAAAGATATGGAACATGTTTATAAGAATACTACTCCCTCGCCTTCACTTTTAAAGTAAATATAAAAGCAAACAGTTAGTACTCAAGGGCTTTTGAAAAAAATTATCCTGAAAATTGCTCCAAGTGGTTCATGTATGTTCAGTAAACAATTTTACCCATTTAATGGAAGGCAAGGGAGAAAGAAATACCTGAATTTTTTTTACCATGTTTTAAGAGCCAATGAGTTATATGAAGTTGTCAAGCATGTTTATATCCCATGTGCACTGTGCCAAGTATGTTCAGTTATTAAAGCTAGCTCACAGAAGCATCCTGAAAATATTTAACATATATCTCAGACTGTGTTCATATGCTGGTAAAGTACTGTTTAAATTGGTAAAGAACATAGTCTTTTCATATACAACAAAAATATACACCTAAAAATATCCCTCAATGCAATGCTAAAAAAAAATAAAAGAGAGAGAATGATAGCTTATAATGGACTTCCTGTACTTTCTTCATTCTAAATGGACTTTCTGTACTCTCTTCATTCTAAAATTTTGTGCTACTATATTTTACCACCCTGAGACTTTATGTCCTCAAAATCCAAATGCTCTAGTTAGCACTATAAGCCAAGATCTGGAGACTATTGATAGCAAGTTCCTGCCATTAAAATATCAAATCATTTGGTTTAAAGAACTGTCATTTTATAATTTTTTTTTTTTAGAAAAAGATGTTTTTGGAGCTCATGCTTACAGAACATACTCATAATTTCAATCCCACACAATATTTTAATTCCATAAGGTGTGTGGGTGGCTATTTCAAATTGACATAGTTTTGTGTTATTTTTTACATGCAAAATTATTATCAGATGGAGGGGAGATTAAATATCCTGAATGTGATTTAAAAAAAACAACTACCTCAGTGTTCTTGGCTTATATTACCAACTGCTAAAATTTATCCATTTTTGGAAAATGAACCACCTTGACAACATCAGTATCCTTAACAAAAAATATAAATAGAACTTTGTTAAAATATCTGAACAAAATTTTTGTATAAAATTGCTCAATGTTTAAATATGAGAAAAATTGATAAATAATTTATAATTTTGTCAATTATTTAGTGATACTGACTAAAATGTTTTATAAAATGTACTCACTGGTTTTGGTGACTCAATTGTATGATATATTTTATGAAACATTTTAATAACCGGATAAATACAGCATTTTATAGAAAATTTTAAACTTACCTTTCAATCATTAGATATTTCAAATGACAGGAATGTAAGCCCTTTTGTCAATCATAAACATCACAATATGCTCACAAATAGCTTAATATACCATAATATAGAATAAATTCAATAATTCTCAGTAATTAGTTTAAGTCAACTTATATATCTCATAGTTTATCAGGTTTATTTTAGTTTAACATGGATAGAGAGATAATTTTTTAATATTAATGAATTTATAAAATAAAGAGGTTTATAAACTAACATTTTAGTGCTATTATGGAATAATTTTTATGTTGTCATAGGCAGAAGCAGTAACTACATGTTCACTGTTTTCCTCCATGCCAGAGATATTAATTTAAAAAAAATATATATAGGAAAATATAGCATATCAGTAGTGCTTTATTATTTCATTTTTCCTGAATTCTAGTGAAGACAATGGGTTTCTTGATTTCTACTATTATGGGATTTGTTTGCAAAAGCTTATCTGTGCTCTCTTTTCTATGAATATTCTTTTTATATCACTGATGTGATTTTTTCCCACTGTTTTATTTTTCTCACCATATTGGAGTCTTGCTATATTACTGATTTTAACTCTAGTCTAGCAACATGATCCAGCTTTTTAAGGATTCCCTCCCAGTTTTTACAGCCACAGACAGCAGGCAGGACAGAGCAGTGCGCCTTTGTGCATGAAGAACTCTCAGCAGTTAGCTAAATCCCACCGCCCGCCCCTCCACAGGACTCCCAGGGAGCAGCGCCACCAGAGATCTTAGCCCAAGTGCCTCTGGAGACATGAGATTCCTTCTTCAAATCCATAGGGATCTATTATCTCCTCACCCCTTCTCCACCCAAATCCTGATACCTACATCTGCATGTACTAGAAGGAAGGTATCATCCAATTTTCTAATCTCTGCAGTCCTTTATAGATGAGCAGGCATTTTTACTCGAGTGGCTGAACTGTTTCAGCTGCAAGTTGTGGAGGTCTCAGTAACGCGTGTTCAAGTCATCATCTTTACCGAAACCCCCTATCATCTTCATTATTTTAGAAATAAATTTAAATTGTTGCTGTATAAAACAAAACAAAAGATTAAACCCTTTCACTCCACAGCTACTCAGTGACTGTACCGCATGTTACGTTATTAAATATAAAGCAAGCTTTCAGGGCTGAAGCCTACATCCCCCATCCCCTGGGAGTGTCGGCTGCCAGCCCCTCTCAGCTGAGCCCTTTTCTTTTAATGAAACTTTGCTGAGGAAGCCGCTTGGCTGATGCTGTTCACTTCCTAGGGGCAGTTCACTTCCACTGACTAGCTAATGTGGGCCCCGCTGTCCCCAATAGGGACAACACTGCAGGATCATCAAAGCCTCAAAGCTCCCCAGGAGATTTGCTGAGGACTATGTTGTGACTACTTTGCACCCCAATCTCTTTCTTTGCCTCTCTGATTCGTTACTCCCCTTCACATGCACAGACACTGAGATCACCCCCCTTGAGTTCCTGAATTCACATCTCTACCGTCTATTTCCTAAAAACCCAGTTGCATAGTTGACCACCACCAATCTGAAATACACTAACATGCATTTTGAACTTGTCTATTATTCTTTACTCAAATTAATCATTTTTTGAAGCAGGGAAACTAACAGCCACTTGGGAACACTGTTAACCTAATAGCCTCAAGAAAGAAACAAATTAAAAAAAATTAGAAATTATTATCATCAAGAATAGAAAAAAAGGAATCATTGTCAGTAATCACACTTTATAACCTAGTAGGAGTCAAATAGCTAATTAACATTGTTGTGAAACCACAATAATGTATCCAAATAATGTAAAACGGAGACCTGGCCACAGGAATAAAATCCTTATCAGCTGACAGATAATTCTCTACATGGCTCTTCAAACTATAGTAAAATACAAATTAGACATACACATTTTTTAATCATGCTTACAAAACAAAATGAAAGGATCATTATGACAGCATTGAGTTGTATAATGCTAACCTATCAGGCCTAAAAGATTTCATGATTTATAGAGGAGACAAAGTGTTTCTATATAATAAAACATATGCTAAAGTCATGGATGATTATAAAAGTCTTTCTGACTTAGTAAGTGTAAGTTTAAAAAATTGTCTCAGCTTAATTACAAATGTCGTTTTGAAAAACCATAAATCCCCTGGAGAGAAATAATGAGTTTCCAGACACCCCAAATCAATGGCTTGATAATCATGTCCTATAAAGCTACCTGCTTTGAGGTGGTTATATTTTTCCTGTTGTTCTTGTAAGATCACAGGAAACCAAGGAAGTCATCAAAATAAATATTTTCACAAACCTAAAAATCTTTATAGACCTGTTAAAAAATATTCAGCCATATTATATCAAATTACATTGTAAATGACAAAATGAGGTATGTTTTTAACCAAAATTTATATTTGTAAAAAATTAACTTGTTTTTTATTATATTGATACATATATATTTGATAAATTGTACATTATAATGCATTAAACATGGAGTTGTGGGGATTTCCTCTAATGCATACATCTTATAGATTAACTTTTTAAAAAGAAGAAAAAACATTCTCTTCTATTGCTATACATCCTCTACATATTAGTATTTGTATTAGCTAATTTACACAGCAATGGATTATTATAATACCAATATCAAAGTAGGATTTTTTTCTATAGCCCCCCTTTAACTGGTGCATGGAGAGAAACTTCATCCCCTATAGTAATGCTGATTAATGTATTTCTCACCTGAATTGGAGGCACTCGTTCATTATTTCCACCACACATGCTGTCTTCCCTTGTCTAAGAGCCACATGTTTTCTGATAGTCAATGTTAAAGATATGATAATAAGAGCTAACTGAAAAATTTCCCATTTTGCTGTTGCCAAAACTCACTCCCCTGCCAGTTTTATATTTACTGTAGAAATGATAGGATTACCAATTTGCTTTTTAATGAGCATTTTTCCATCGGGTACATTACAATGTACGAGTATATTGGGATCATTTAAAAAAATTAAAAGGATATAATCACACAATTTTTTTCATATAAAAATGCAGTCACAGTTGATGAGCTAAAATAAGTTCTAATTCAGACAGAGCTTTATAAGCCTTTATCTACTCTTTATTACATCCTGTTAACACCATGCTTCATTCCTGCCTCTCTAACATAGATAACTATATTTTATCCTAACTCTGTATCATTGAATTTAATGAATCATACTATCTATGCTTTGTGAAACAGGCTGTCTTTTTGGGGGAAAACATAGTATCACAGTTTATATTGAGCTGATGCTTTAATTAAAAGTCAAATTTTGATACTTAAGTATTGAAATGTAGTCCAAACTAAGTTATTTTCATTCCAATTAACCTTGATCACTGAAATCTATTCCTCTTGGATTCACTCTTCTCTGCATTGCTCTGATCAGATACAGATGTTGTAAGCCTCCTTCCCCCAACACATGGGCAGTTCTGCCCATTAAAATCATTAGTGAATTTGATTTTAAAAGCAGGTGTCTCCAAAAGCCTTTTTAAAAAACACCAAAAAAGCCTTTTTGAGGAACACGATGCAGACATTATGTTTGGAGCCAGAAGGCATTAATTTGAGTCCTGGCTTTAACCTCTATTAACTTGGACAAATTAATAAACATCTCTTAGCCTTAAGATATTGCCTAGGAATGGGAAATATACAAAAATAATAGCAACTTATATTAGGCACTTACTGTCTTTTAGAAAATCTTCTAAACAATTTACATGCTTGTGTCATTTAAGTGCACAACCACCATATGAGTTTAGCATTATTAATTCCCATTTTCTAGATAAACTGGAGATAATAATACCTATGTCTCTTAATTATTCAGGGTTGCAGAAAAGATAATAAATAAAATGTTTCTCTGAACACTGTGAGTCGCTCTAGAAAATTAATTGCGCCCAGGAAGGAGACCTTGGGAACCTCTGATTTATAGCCAGTTGGTAAGAATTACAGTAACAACTTGGAATTTTTTGAATGGCATGTGTAGTCCATGGAGGGGTTCATGGGAATGCCAATCTATAGCTGAGGAAGGACAGTTAAGAAGCCAGGAAAATTCCATGGCAAGTGAAATGGGGAAATTGAGACAGCTAGATGATTCAAACGGGCCTCATCCAGCACCCTGCCTCACCTGCCTCCTTCTCCCTAGCAGGACCACTCCCTTAAGCTTTAAACCCTCAGGACAAGGAGGTTCTGATCAGCGTCAAATAATCTTAGGAACAAAGCATTGGGTCTGTTGACCACAGAGACAGTTTTAGTTAAACTAGAGATAAAATCTAGGCCTCAACTGTGTTTCAGCTCCCGCCCAGAAAAGCAGCAAAACCAGATAAAGAGACACCATGGTTGACATCAGGACCAGCTTCAAAGACCAATGACACCCTACCCTAGCTCCATCAATCAGTGGAGACCCTGATCTTATCTGCTCATTTTGATATGTCAGCATAATAAAGAACATACCTGGAAAGCTGATGAATATATATTCTACTGAGATCCTTCCCTGAGACCTCCCTTAAAATGATGCCTTTAGAAAACGGATAGAAACCCTTAAGACAAAGGGGCCGCTGCATGCTCTCTCTCTACAGCACACCCTCACCTTCTTTCTTCGGGAGTGTACCTTTGCTTTCTTTCTCTTAAGCTCTAAAGGTCCCCATGAGACTTACAACCAGGGGAACAGAGGGCAGCGGCACCTCATCCCAAGCTAAACCCCCGAACCTGTCTTCTAGGGCCCTTCTTTTTGCCCCTGTAACTTGTTTTCTGAGTCTACACAGTCCAGCTGGCTCACTTCTTCTGCCTCTGTGACTTTCTTTCTGTAAGTCCAAGGCAGCAATCTGAGCAGCCCTCTCAAATCTACTCTTCGAGTGTACTTTCACTTTGCATGGTACATAAACTTCCCCTTATACTAGAGTTCTTGGCTCTGAATTCTTTCTTTGCTGAACTTAAGAAACAAGAGCCAACATTGCTGGTAACATATCTAGTCAGTCAGAAACAGGTAATTACCTGGGCTTGCAATATCTAAAGTGAGGAGGGGGACAGTTTTGTAGGACTGAACCCTTAACCAGTGGAATCTAAAGCTATCTCCAGTAGATATTATCAGAATTGAGTTAAATTGTAGGACACTCGGCTGCTGTCAAAGAGGCTTGATTGGTGGTGTGGGGAACCTTCCCCCCCCATTGTAGAATTGGGTTCAGAACCCTTTTAAATACTATTGGCAATAGATAGAAATTACAGCAAAAAGTGTATATTGGAATTCCTTCCAAGTAAATGTATTGACTACAACCCCAAGAAATGGTGTTTTGTTTGCCATCATCTCCTCTCAGCGAATCTGTTTTTATAACACATACACACGTAGATAAGAATAGTTCCTCCACTTCAGATAATCTGAGAAACACATAGCTTTTTAAAAACAAGGATTAATAAATAGTTTATTAAGCAATGAAAAACATCTCCAGCAGAACTTTTAAGAATTCAGCTTTTAAGATAAACACAATTTGTTTTCATTCATGCTAAAGAGATTCAGTATTAGTGTCAGAACAGTTTCATCTAAGTATCCCAATGGTATTCTTAAAGCAGAATACATTTAAAAGTTAAGAAGTGTGATTCTACTTTTCTCATCAGATATTTTGAAGTTCCTGGCAGATTGGTACAATAATGTAACGTGTTAGAGATAAAATGTGATGCAGGGAGTGGTGCCCTCAGCGCCTGTAATGTAACTGTATATCCCTTAACACTGTTGAAAAGTCCTTTATGGCCTTATGGTCTACCGTTCACCCTCCTTTTTCTTGCTGCGCTTAACCCTCTAACTCCAGCCTCAGCAATTACATATAGTTCCTCCCTCCCTCCACTGGGGTTTTGCCACTCTGCTCGATCTAGGAACATTCTCGGCCACTCACTCAACATCTATTGCCCTTCAGATCTCAGCTCAAATATCAGTTTCACAGTGAATACAATAAGTCCTCACTTTAACATCACGCAGATAGGTTCTTGAAACTGCAATTTTCAGTAAAACATATAATGAAACCAACTTACCATAGGCTAACTGATGTGTAAACAAGAGTGAAGTTTCTATGGCACGTTTCTAATCACAAAAACATCACCAAACTTCTAAATAAAGACCCAAAACACGTCTCATATTAAAGACTGAAGTAAATGTGAGCTCTACACACATTTAAAAAATAGTAATAAAAAGTAAAATCATTATTTTCCAACCCGCTTATTTCAGTTCAGAGCTGAGGAGGACCGGATCCTGTCCCGGCAGCTCAGTGCACAGGTAGGACACCCGCCCTGGCAGGCCGCACTCACGCACACCCCGCACTCACGCACACCCCGCACTCACGCACACCCCGCACTCACGCACACCCCGCACTCACGCACACCCCGCACTCACGCACACCGGGCCGCTTAGGCTTGCCCGCTAACCTAACGTGCACGTGTCTGGGATGCGGGCAGAAACAGGGATACCTGCAGAAAACCCACGGGGACCTGGGGAGAGCTTGCAAACGCCCCATAGACAGTGGCCCTGGTCAGGAATTTATATTTTTTTCTCATCAATGTTATAACAAATTGAAATGATGTTGAGTGAAATGTTACTTGAGGACCTGCTCTACCCTGATGATTCTCCAGTGTAAGTCAGATTGCTTTTGTTACATGCTCTGATAGAAGGTTGTTTCTTAATTTATATTTGAATACTTATTTATACATTTTTGGATTAACGATTGTTTCCCTCTCATGACTATAGGCTCCCTGAGAATAGAAACCAGTCTGATTTTGCCCTTCAGTGCTTACTCCAAAGCAAAAAACAGTCAGGAGTCAAAAAATATTTGTTTAATGAATAAAATTGGAGTTTCTGACATAATGCCTGAAATATTTCACATGTACACACAATACACAAATATAAAATACATAATGTGAAGTTTTAATATATTTAATTATTTAGTATGTATATATTATTTAATATGAAAAAATAGATTGCTGAGCACCTCCCTGAGAGATATTTTATAATTCAATATAATGACAAAAATCCAATTTTATTCAGGTCAGAAATTGTTGATTAAAATATTTTATTTCTCTGACTTCCTCACAGTTGTGACCAATGAGATATAAGCAGAAGTGTTATCTGAGAGTTACTGGAAACTTTTCTAAGAAGAGCTGACTCAGCTGGGTAATGTCCTTATTTTTCTATCTTAATTCAGACACTTTTTCATTAGAGCGGCTAAAAACTTGAACGTGATATTTTGAGATATCTCAAATTCTGAAGTGACCTTAAGGACAGGAGCCCTGTGTTAGGATTCAGCATCAGGAAGATACAAGAAAAGTGGGTGCACTAATTAGTCTGCTTTTGTAATATATATATATATTTTACCTGACAAACAAATTTACAGCACTCTTGGTAAAATTATTCTAGTTACAATGAATAAACATTCTGTAACTGGAAAAATGGAAGAGAAATCAGTCAGGGATTTTTTTGAATTGCCAGCCAATGATGTCCTAGAGAAAATAAAGGATGTGCTAATTGCAAAAACCACCATGAAGAAATGATAAATGATAAACTGTGATTGACAAAATTTGGCAAAAAGGGGACATATCTATTATATTTTTCTTGGAGAATTATTACAATAATAAAAACTTCTGAGAATGTGTACTTTTGGGTAAATATGAAGTTTTTAAAAGACATGTTGAAATTAAACTAATGGTGAGATGACAAGTAAAGGCATTTTATGTGTAAAACTGGAATGCTAAAACTCACTGAATATGACACATCAGT